GAATGTTAGGCTGTGGTTCAAGAGATAATAAAGACAGTTCAAGCAAAAAAACAAACAGTCAAATCATTTAAAAGGGCTGGGTTTCGAAAACGACCTCGAGACAAAAATGAGCACCGAATATCTCCGTGTTTGTCAACTCCGAAGAAGAAGAAGGCTAAAGTATGCGCAAAAGCATATACCGAGAAATCAAATCCATCATCCCCATGTCCTGGATCGCCGTCGCAAGTATCTTATTTATTCTCATGCTTGAAATAGGTTTGGAATGTAACATTTCTCGCATGTCATAATATTTTATGATAAAAATAAAAAATAAATCTAATATCATGTTCAAGAAGAATTGGATATTTTTTCCGTATAATACGGAGGGCAAAGTCTGATTACCGTATCACGCGTTATTTAACGGCACATGACCTAGTGTCAAGTAGATCGTGAGGAACTTTTATTCATCCGAAATAGATTTAATAGATTATTATCATGCAACGATTATCCCGACTATCGACTCTTTTTTCTCGCGAAAGTGTACGCTATTCTTCTTGAGTAGGACATCGGCTCTAGGAATCATTCCTAACGGCTCGTCGAATAGTGATTTCCTCGCCTATTAGATATTACAAGACATTTTTTTCTCTGCTGTAGACATGAATTCAACCAAGCTATCACGTCGGAAGAAACACCACCCACGAAGAAGTTATCACGACAGGCCTGGGCAAGTAGAAATAAAAAACAGAGGCGTGAAGAAGAACAAATTGAGATGTCCCAGAAAGCCACCCGTTGTCTATGTACTCAAGATAAGGTCGATTGTTTAGAAAAGGAATGGACGAGTGTATCTCTTTTACCCTCAGATCGTAAATCGTCTAAAGAAATAAAAACTCGACTGGGGATTTCAACTAAAAATTTATTAATCGAGACATTAATCCGTGAATATACATAGGAAAAAGGTATAAAAATTTATGTGATTAATATATGTTCTGGAAATCAGCCCGTTTCGGGAATGGGCAGGCCCATGTTAGAATTCTCATTTGGGCTGGCCCATTCGGATTGAAATATGTTACACAAATTCTTATTCGTTTGTTATAACCATAAAATATTTTTATTGTTATGTTAATGATGACGTGATTTTTGAGATTATGAGCCGGGATACCCCCCAATTATTAGGTAATAGAAAATCGGTCATGCGGATCTCAGCATCAGCCGCGACAATAATTATATGTTAATATTAATATGGGGTTTTTATTATAAACACGAGTATCGTATATCATAATTACAGATGACGTCATCACCCCCTATGATATCCAACATATATCAACAAAATTGTGATACCCGCAATAATTAGATAATAGAAGAATCACGTGGAATGCAAGCATCAGCCGACTGCAAGCACGCTCGAGCATTTTGTATTACCACGGAATAAATTAGAAGGTCATGGAACTTTTCATGCATGATGTAATCGTGTGACCTGCTGATTGTTACTATAAATTCTGATTGTCCAAGTTTTTTTTTTCGCTACGTTTTCTTCCAGCCTTTACGCCTGTATTATCTATTATGTCAAAGAAATATCTTGGTAAAGTAAATGACATTTCCTTGTTTTTGGCAGTG